TAAATACTTCGGATGAACCATCGTCCATTGAAATTCCCAATTTACAAGATTTATCATTTGAAATATTCCAAGAAGCGAACATCATGAATGTCATAGATGTTCAAGAAGAATCATCCAACTCCGCGAATCGATTACAGAAATTAAAAAATTCAATAAGAACAGAACATATGTCAACCGAAGAGCGATAAAATATACTAGAAATATGTAGTGATTTTGCCGACATCTTTCACTTAGATGGGGATAAAATCACTCATACTAATTCGGTTTATCATGAAATAAAGACGCCAGGTATAACACAACCGGTATATCAAAAACCGCATAGATTACCATACGCTCAGAAAAATGAGATTACGAAGCAAGTCGAACAAATGGAACGAGATGGTATTATCGTTCCAAGTGACAGCCCATGGAACGCACCCTTACTTGTAGTGCCAAAAAAGGAAGACATATCTGGAAAAAAGAAATATAGAGTCGTAATAGACTTTCGTAAACTAAATAACGTTACGGTTGGAGATGCGTTTCCAATGGCAAATGTCACTGAAATCCTCGACCGATTGGGAAAGGCAAAATATTTCTCGTGTATTGATCTAGCCGCCGGATATCATCAGATACCCTTACACCCGGAAGATCAGGGAAAAACAGGATTTAGCACGGATAAAGGATATTTTGAGTTCCAACGTATGTGTTTTGGTTTTAAAGGGGGACCAGCAACGTTTCAGAGCCTGATGAACAAAGTGTTAACCGGTATTAACGGAATAAAAGCTCTTGTCTATCTAGAAGATGTAATCATTATTGGTACATCCCTTGAGGACCATCAGAAACAACTAAAAGATGTATTTACTCGACTCAGAAAGTACAATCTTAAACTTCAACCAATAAAGTGTGAATTTCTAAGAAAGGAAGTGTCATACTTAGGACACATCATTACCGAAGAGGGAGTTCAACCAGACCTAAAAACAACTGAAAGTGTTGTCAATTTTCCAGTTCCAAGGAACGCCAAGGACGTAAAATCGTTTCTAGGTTTAGCAGGTTATTATCGAAGATTCATAAAGAATTTCAGCCAAATATCTAAGCCATTAACAAACCTACTAAAAAAGGATGCCGACTTTAATTGGAGCGACTTATGTAGAGAAGCTTTTACACGATTGAAAGAAGTATTATCGAAAAGACCTCTACTTCAATATCCAGATTTTTCAAGACCATTCGTAGTTACCACAGACGCAAGCAATGTAGCGAAAGGGGCCATCCTTTCTCAAGAATCGATAGGATCAGACTTGCCAATATCCTATATCTCCCGCACACTAAATAAAGCGGAAATAAATTACAGTACAATGGAAAAGGAACTCTTAGCTATTGTATGGGCTGTGAAACAATTTCGACCTTACATATATGGTCGTAAATTCACGGTCGTAACGGACCACAAGCCACTCACTTGGCTATTCAACGTCATGGATCCAGGAGCTAGATTGGTGAGATGGCGACTTCAATTAGAAGAGTACGAATATGATATAATATATAAACCGGGTATGTTAAACACCAACGCAGACGCCCTGAGTCGCATCACCACAAACAACGCTGCGGTTATGTCAATTCAAGATTATGTAACTCCAACCTACGAAACCTTTTGTCAAGATTCAAGAACACAAGTTTTCTTGAACTCTGATATCAATGAAATTGAGGGAGATCTGTTTGAAGCAACAGAAGATTTTGCTCTTGGTCATTGTGTTTCAGAGGATCTGAAGATGTCTCAAGGAATTGCTCTAGAATTCCGTAAAAGGTTTGGGAAAGTCGATACATTAATTAGTCAAAACAAAAAAATCACAGAGATTGCCAGTATAAAACAATAATCATCAAATTATATACATAATTAATAAACAAAAATTTGAAGAAAAACCCACGTTAAAAACAATGTTTATGAGCCTCATAAATCTTCGAAAATTTTGTGAGCAAAATAATATTTCTAAACTCGCCATTCCGAGAATAGGAAGTGGCCATGACCAATTGAATTGGGAGCAAGTAAGGGCCATGATCCGATACATATTCAAGAAATCAAAAATAAAAATTATTATTTTTGTAAACACAACATACTCAGATGAAGAAAAAAGAAACATTATAAAGGAATTTCACGAAAACCCACTTGGGGGACACCAAGGAGTGTCACGGACTATAAAACGAATAAAACAACATCACACGTGGAAAAATTTAAAGTCAGATGTTAAAGAATTCATCAAAACATGCAGCTCTTGCCAAATAAATAAAAGCAGCAACCATAGTATACAACAACCGATGGTGGTATCCACTACAGCAATGAGAACATTTGAGAAAGTTTTCTTGGACGTTGTTGGACCAATCGAAACTTCTCACAGTGGCAACTCATATATATTAACGATCCAAGATGATCTTTCAAAATATTCAATAGCTATTCCATTAAAAAATCACACAGCGAACTTAATCGCTCAAGCATTCATTGAACATTTTGTTTGCCTTCATGGAATCCCCGACATAATAGTCACAGATCAAGGCAGAGAGTTCATGAGCAAAATTTTTACAACTTGTTGTAAATTACTCAAAATCGAGAAAATTAACACGACTGCATACCACCCGCAGTCAAATGGAGCTCTTGAAAGGTCACACAGGACGCTTGCGGAATACTTAAGACATTATGTGGAAGATAAGAAACGAAATTGGGACGAATATGTTCCATACGCAATGTTTGTATATAACAGCACACCTCATACAACCAGAGGATTTCAACCACATGAGCTTATGTACGGATGCCAAATTGAAGTTCCCCACTCCTGAAGTAGAACGCCGCAACCGTGCTACAATTATGAAGACTACTCCAACGAACTTCGTCTAAAACTACAGGAATCATGAGCGATAGCAAGAGACCGTCTTATAGACAAGAAAAATAAATCAAAGGCACAATACGATAAAAAAAAACATGAACTAATCGTAAACGTCGGAGATAAAGTATTGATGAAAAACCATAATCATGCAGGAAAACTTGACCGAAAATGGCTTGGACCATTCACTGTGAATAGTCTCCACGACAACGAAAACGTTTCGATCCAACGTGGACGAAAAGAAGTCAGAGTTCACAAAAATGAGTTAAAAATATTTCAACCCTAATAGTAAAAAAAAAAAAAAAAAAGAAGGAGTAGTAAATTTTAATAAAAATTGAATAAATTATATTATAATGTATATATATAAAAAAAAAAAAAATCATCATTTTCAGAAGCACTATCAATTGGATAGAGGCGAGTCATTTTACTGTGACTCCTACCTCCAATCCGGCAGGTATATATTTTCAATCTATGGGAAATCTACGATTAACAAATTCAAATTGGCGCTTGCTTACAAATATTAATATTTCAAACTACAAGTAAATTAAACATTTATTTGGCACTTATTTTATTATTTCCAATGGTTATAAATAAAAATTTCATTAAATACGAATTATGCATAAATCCAAATTTTGACTTACTCTAACTTGATCAGTTTTGAAAATAGAAAAAAACTGTTGATACGAAAAATGCTCAAAAAAAAAATAATCTATCCGAATATGTAGAAAAAAAATAGTGTTTCTATTTAAAAAAATGTAAGTTGTATTGCGCATGCGCACACCAAAAGTTAATAATTTGAAATTTATCCAAAAATATGTATTTAGGTACTTCCTATCACCTCCCGAAAACGCCAGTTCAATACAAGGTCATGCACCAGAGATATTTAGTGTTACCATAAATCGTGATCACACTGTATATATATGTATTTATACTAACAACCTTTTTTAATTCTTTACGAAAATTTGTTCTTAATGCATTCATTTTTTTCTTAACATCTTCTTTAGTGGCTTCTAGATATTTCCTTAGTAACATTTCATAAGCATCATTTTTTTTTGTTTCGATTGGAATACTCCTTATATTTCACTTTCCAAAGTGCCGGCAGATCCCGATTCAACCGAATACATTCGATTATAAATTAACGTTCTTCTATTTTGGTTGACATTTCTTCGATAAATAAGATTATAATCATAATAGTGGCCAAATTGGTGTTTTAAAATAATAAAATTTTTTATTCTCTATAGGATGCAAGGAACTTGTTTAATGGGTTAGAAGCTCTTTATGTTTATTTTTCACGACCCTCTACACATTTTAAACTTTGTGAAATGCAAAAAGAGCTAGGATTAACTAAAATTACTCTTTCCCAATTAAGTGACACTCGATGGGTCTGTAGATTTAAGAGTTGTGATGCTCTTATTAACAATTATGATGCTATTGTCAATGTTTTAACTAATGAAATTGATGAACAGGAGAGTAAAGATGTCGCTCAAGCAATTGGTATGTTTAATTTAAATGTATTTAATAATATTTTAGACCATTCAAGTACACATATTGTATTTATAAAAAAAATTATACTTAAATAATAAATAAATAAATTATATTTCAGGCGTTTTGACAACTATAAAAAATTTTAAATTTATTATATATTTGTTTATACTTCATGATGTTCTTAAAATAATAAATATATTGAGTGTACAATTACAATCAAAACTGGCAACATTAGGAAGTTCGGCATGCTTAATAAATGGAGTTAAAGAAACTTTGAAAAAAAATCGCACTCCAGAATACTTTGCAGAATTATGGGAAAAAATTATTAATTTTGCAGAGAGTAATGATATTTCCATCAATATTCCCATAGGTAGGTAACTTTAAAATTAACTCATTTTCCACAGAAATTACATGTACAAATTTTCTTTTTCAACAGGTTCTAAAAGACGTAGAACAGAAACAAAAACCCTCAAGGATTACCATGTTACTGTCACAACTGCGGCTGAGAACTCGTTATACGAAGACGATTCGTCAAAGAAAAAATATTGGGAAGAGCATGCTAACTATCCAATATTAGATGCAATTATAGTTAGTTTGAATAGTAGATTTTCAGAGGAGAGTTTAAAAATTTCAATAGCAGTTGATGAATTATTTAAATTAAATTTTCACAAATCATCTTTTCTTATTGATTATTATAAAGTACGTTGTAACTTGTATTTGAGCAATATTTATAAATTATGAGAATTCTATTTGACAAATACTTTTTTTAAACTACTTTGTTTTTGTTTGTATATTTGTGTACACTGTACAGGATACTTTTGATATCAATTCTTCAAACTTAAAATGTGAAATTAATGTAATGAAAAACACGATGAAAGAAGTCAATTTTGAAAATATCAAAAAACATCTAAATGAAGAAGTATTTCCTAATTTATTTAAAATTATGCAAGCGGCAATAACATTACCAGTGAGCTCGGCCACTTGTGAAAGGTCCTTTTCAACTATGAGAAGGATCAACACATATTTCAGAGCTAACATGACTCAGGGCCGATTTACTAATTTAGCAATATTGAATATCGAAAAAGATACTATAGTAGATCCTGAAATAATATTGAACACATTTGCTAAATCCAACCGACGAATACAGATCTAAAAATGTATTGGGCACATTTTTTTAAATAAAAATTTGTTCTATAATTATATTATTTTGTTGTTACTTGTTGCTCTAAAGCCACACATACAGTATTAATAATTCCTATTGTTTTCCTAAAAGTTATGTGGTGTATAATGTATAATTATAAATATAATTTTGACAACTATTATAAGTAGATGAAATAGCACATTTGAAAAAAATATTTAGTAAGTTTTATTTTCAGTCAATATTGTAATTAAGTAAGCAGTATAAGATATACCTATGTTGTACTAAAAAAAATTTTTTCATTCAGTACCTAGGGCTTCAGCCCCCCCAAATCTCAAACGCTATTTGCGCCTATGATGTTCCCTTAAACAAAAATGTTACAAACAAGTAGTAGAATAGTAATAGTTAGCTAATTTGATGTTATCAAAAAAAAAATAGTTCTGCCCATGCACTGTCATTTTACAAGTGGCTTCTACAAATGCCACAGTTGTATTCATTTGTGATTCATTAATATTATGCTGCCCATCTACCGTACAAACATAAGTGGCTTCTAGAACAACCACTAACCTATAAAGGGTTAAGATAAACTACCGTCGATAACGAAAAGCATATGAGTAACATAGGTACTAGTACTATTCATAAATAATATTTGTGTGTCGTTAATAAAAATACTGATTCGTCACGACCGTCCGCGATAGCGTGAATTTCTGAAAAATAGATAAACGAATAAAATAACGTTTTAACGTTTCAATACAACGCGACAGTCTACCGCGTGTCTAGTGACCTGTGCGTTATATTCGAGTGCGTTGTGTTATAATTTTATTGTTTGTCTCAAAGTTGGTTTTGTTATTTTGTTTGCAATATGGAGAGATGGCTTAAAAAAGAAACTCTAAAACGTTCCTCTCAAGAACCTGAATATTTTGCGGTGAACCCAAGTCATTCTTTTTTGTAAATTTTACACTCAGAATGAAACGTTTTTTATTTATAAAATGTAATTGAGGATAAATCAGAACAATATTTATGAATTAAATTTTCTACCGGCTGTCATTGTTTACCGTGCTCATGATTTTTTCAAAAACCTATTTGAAAGTTTTGAGTCTGTTTTTTCATAATCGAACACAGTACCAGGAGTTCATAAACACATAATCGATTACAGTACCAGGAGTTCATACATAACGATCGTATACAACATAATAGAACACAGCACTAAGAATTAATAATTTTGTTATTACATAGAAAAACAACAATTTGATGAAGAATTTCCTTCTACATTTATTTTTTTTTTTTTTACATTTTGGACTCAGTATGACACGTTATTCTTTTATGGAATAAAATCTTACTTCAATTAATACTTAAATAGTAGTAATTCAGGGATGGCGAACCTATGTCACATTATTTCAGTTATTTTATTTTATGCGCATTATTTCAGTGATACGCCAATTTAAAATATAATTCTTAATTTTTACTTCACTTTCCAAAAAAATTATTGATAATTTTAAACTATTTTTAACTTATTATTGGAATGTATCGTAAGATATTGTAATCTATACTTTCCATTTCCTAAGCTCGTAAACGAAACGATTAGATTATCAATAAATTCGTTTATCGCGTTTACGTAACAAACGTAGGTAAAACAGAACAGTCGACAGTCGTCAACAGATAGTTTCGGATGCCTTACACGACGACTATTTTAACCAACCTATTCAATATTGCTTCGGGCTTTCTCAATATAATTCACGTTTAACCGTTGGAAGTTTAATACATTGGTGAATATTATTTATTTTTATTATTTTCAAAAATTAAAAATTCGTATAAAATAATTAATACTATATTCTTAATTTATAGAATAAAAATCTTCAAAAAATTAAAACTGAATCCAGAAAAAAGCGGTAGTGGGAGATTATTCCACGAACAGTGGACAGTGGATTTTGGTGTAATTCAAAACAATAATAAGGTACTATGTTGCTTGTGTAACGAAACAGTTGTAAGCCGTAGTTTTAATGTTAAAAGACATTTCGAGACAGTTCATAATAATATATTTTCTCTATCGGCTGAAGAAAAATTAGAATTGATTTCTCAAAAAGTAAAATTTTTTAGAAGTCAATCAAACAAATTTAAAGTGGCGTTCAAACAAAATAATAATTTATCAGAGTAGTATAAATTGGGGGTTTCTGGCACCACCGCCACCGCCACCGCCACCGCCGCCGTTACCACCGAACATCTATGCCCCCTCCCCCACTACCGCTCCTTAACTGCCCCCCTCCCCACACCCAATCTAAATGAGTTGACTAATGTCAAAGTAAATAGGCATACCCCCTCATAATATTATCCTCTCAAGCAACCCGTAATACCTCAAATTTCCCACCCCACTACTACAGACACCACTGCCCACCCCAACGCAGCGTTTCCAGGAATATTAGCTGACCAATACTTAGAAAGCGATTATATTCATGTATAATTAAAGAAAATCAATTAAAAATTAGCATACCAGCATGAGTACGATTGTAATTAGGAAAAATACAATTAATCACCGGATAAATAAGAATTAAATGAAATAGTCGAATATTGTCGTCAGACGTTAATGTGTCTTTAGTCTCTCATAAATTATAATCAACATCACATACCCATATATTCTCACTCCGTGCTTTCACAGTAGTTAAACTTTACATTATTTTTAATATTTTTAATATACAAAAATGAGCAACTCACCAAACGAAGAATTGTATGATAATCAGTTAGGTGAAATGGTAAGTCTCAATAAGATCAATCGTTAAAATAAAATTTTATGTTTTATCTTTTGAAATATATATTATTTCATAGCTGAGGTTTGATACACCCGAAGTAATTGAACCATTTCAATTCGAGTTGCCTGATAACCAATTAGGAGAAATGTTTGGAGACATGGTGAGTTCGATTAATAACAAAAACATTTTCATTGAAGAATATTTACTTAAATTATATTTAAAATAATTTAGACTCAATTCTTTGATAGTGGCTACGAGTCACTTATATCACCTCGTTCACCGAACTTGATTCGGGTGGAAGAATTAAGTTTAGATTCATTGGATTCTTTGGATTCACCTATCATGATTTTCATTGAAGATATCAATTTAGCCGCAGCCTCCCACCCACTACTACAAAATCATTCCCTCACCACGTTCACTCCGACTCAATATAATGAAAATAATTATTTTTCTGGTAAGCTAATTTCTCAAAGTACAGTATCCCCTTTTGTAACTTATGATAATTTATAGAGAATACGATGAATAATGATCTTCAGGAGGATGATGATTTGTGTAACAAGGCGATGGATGCATATGAACAATCTCAGCGTGCCGCTAACGTCATTCAATTAGCTGATAACGTATACGTAGCAAATATTTCACCAGGCTCATCAAAACTTAAATAAAATAATAATACTTGTTTGTGTATGTGGGTGTCTAAATCTATCAAATAAATGCCAAGTTAAATATAAATTTCGTTATTATTAATACTTATTACTATATTAATGTTAATGAATGAAAAACACATTTGAATACATGCCGCTACAATACGTATCCAGGTTTAAAAATGTTCGTACCAGCTTGAGACAGGTGAGAGTGTAATTAGGAAAAATACAATACAAAAACCAAACCGCCGGATGACAATAAATATGAATCAATTAGCGAGAGTTAGGTATGGGTATAATTATGAATAATAAGAATTTTATATATGGTTTACCGGTCAGTGGAAATGCTTTGCCAATTTTTCTGAGATTTTACGGAGTAATTATTAGATCCTATCACACTTGAAATCGAAATGAAATCAATGTGTCCTTTAGTCTTCTACTAGTCGCATGTCCGTCTCTACTCGCTCCGTGTTTTCACAGTTCTTTAGCGATTATCACTACATTTTATTTTACCCTTAGTGTTTTTATTTTTATTTTATTTTTTATTTTTTATTTTTTTTAACATTTCAATATGTTTAAATGTGAACAGTGTGATAAATATTACAACAGAAAAGATATTTTAGTAAGACATGTCAAAGTTCATAGTGTTACACGATTTACGTGTGGTGAATGTCCTGCTACATTCCGCCGTCGCGATTATATTACAAGACACGTGAAAATCAAACATGGTATGTATTTCAATATTTTACTTTATTAATAATTTTAAATTTAGTTGTTTTTTTTTTCGACAAATGTTCAATAAAATAAATAATTCAACTATTATTTTGTAAGTTATCAATCGCGTTCAACCACAAGAATAACGTGAATTTAATGAAATTGAAATAGCTCCACAAATTATTGTACCAGACATTCAAGCCGGACCGTCTAACGACCGTTCAGAAGAAACATGGTTTGACGATGGTTATAACGAATTGCTTGATCTTGTTGATTTATGTGAGAATACAGGTAAGATTATTTTTAAATATTATATTCTAGTTTGTGTATAGAGATAGTTAGATAGAATGAATTTCATTTGTAGGTCTCTCAAACTATGTTACGAACGAAAACACGACATATAATAGACGGAATAAAAGGGCACGGCTAGATTTAGTTGGAAAAGCTGTTGAATTTGTTAATGTGGGATCATCTTTTAATAACTATATAACATGGTATTATAAGAAAAACACTAACAATATTATCAATCATTCAGTATTTCTTGATTCAATAAAATCCGAATTGTTAGAATTATTAAAATCATTATCCCTGCCTATCAAATTCAATCTTAAATTGGAAGCTGTATATAATAAACCTAATATTGAAAATTCGTCCGTGAATAGGGCTTTTAAGACCTCGGCGAGGGCGATTTTTAATAATACTAATGTGGAGGAAAGTGTCGATGATATGTTATTACAATTTTAACTGAGGAGGAAGCTTATCAAGGGAAAGGCAGCGGGTTCACTCTGGAATTGATAGATGGATTATTACTAGGCGTATATAAATATACTCCATTAGGTGCGAGCTCTTTTATTGACTTACCTAAAGATATTCAGAATAAAAAAGCAGTTATTAATCCTCAAAATTCAGATAATCAATGT